ATCTAAATATCTAATCCTAATCAACTAATGAAACAAATCTAATCAACCTGTCATGAACTAGTGTGAAATACCATTTCATTATAATTTATAACAGATCAAGATAGAAATTTTCAATGAATAATTTCTCTACTACTACATGCATATAAGTTGAGATCAATATGTGACAGGTTAATCATTTTTTTTTTTCAAGTAAGAATAGTGAAATGCGACTTATTTGTTAAAGCGTTTGATCTGTGACTCACCCATTGTAGATTCGAGTCGTCAAGGGTAAATGAAATTTTACTGTTAATCTATCTCTTTTTTTTTCTTTTTCTTTTTTTTGGTGTTGAGTCAATGTGGATGAGATTCATCCATGACCACAACCTAATACTTGAGCTTTCAGCAGACGACTATTTGTGCAAATACTTTTCAACAGCTTGGCCCGGAGATGATCTGGCAGAAAATTTGTCCATGGAAATTATTGAGCACACCATAGAAGTCAGCCACCATTTGCGAACACATTTTTTCGGTCAATTCCGATTGGTTGTTAACATCATCAATTTTTCCATGGGTTAATAACTTTAAACTTCATTAACGTTTGGAGTGATTTGGACTTTGCCCCTAATTTTAGGCACGTGTTCACATCATCAAAATCATGTTTAATAGTTAAATATCACCTAAGTTTCAGAAATTGTCCTTATTCTTAACCACAAAAAGAGAAGGGTGATTTGAAGTTTATTGCCATAACAACGACTCTAGTAGCACTTAAGGTGCGTTTGATAAAATTGAAGTTTGAAAATTGAAGTCTGAAATATGAAATATGAATCCATTAAGTTATTGAATCGTTAAATATTAAATCTAATATATTTGAATGCATAGCATATTCAGTAATAAGTGAATAGCTATCACCTAATTTTGGCAGCAAATTTTTACTTGGGAAATTTAGTGCCACTTAATTAATTCAGATGTTCAATTTTTGGTTATTAAACTGTCTGAATATGTTAAGATCTGAATCCATTAAGTTTAAGTGTTGAATTGGGTTATCAAACAGAGCTAGATTGCTAAAGAATTCATATGCAATTCACAACTGCTATTTTAATTATTTTTGTTTGTGTTTTTTCTCTCTTTTATTTCTTTTCTCTCTCTTATTTTTCCTTATGTATTGTCATGTCCTCGTGTCATTTCTGAGCTATTATATCGCTATTCATAATTAATTAACTAAAAGCCCTAAGTTTTCGATCTACATCTAAGTATTTTGAATTGATACCAAAGTTAGTCATATTAATAATGGTGAAATTAACAAAAATAACTAAATATTATTTAATCAAATATACATTGCTTGTGTTACCAAGCAAATTCAATTTAGAAATTGATTATTTTAGACACACGTATAAAAAGTAAAGGTCGTGATTCATTGATTATTTTATTAATAATAATATATTGCTTAGTAGTAGCTAGAGAAAATAGGGAAAATAAGGGAAAACACTTAAAAAAAGAATAGAGAGAAAAGAAATAAAAGGAAAAAAGAAAAATGAGAATAGTAAAATATCAAGGGTAATAATATTAGGAGGTAAAATAAGTTTAAAAAAATCTTCAAGGGGCAAAGTGCAACTAAAATCATGTTTGATAGGATAGACTATAATTGCTAATTTAAGGATAATTATATCTTTTCACTGAATCGTTACCTTTAACTATTAATTTAGGGGGCAATTTTAGGGGACAAAGTACAAATTGCTTACTGCAATTGAATATTGAAAGTTCGTAGTAATTCGGTGTAAAACTATAAATTCGATATAGTTTGGTAACATAGTTGTTGAGATCTGGATTACAGTCTTATGGTTTTAAGATAAAGCTTGATTCCTAGAGTGCTAATTTCTTATTTAATTTATTTCCCTATATAGATAATTGAATATTGAAAGTTCATAGGAATTCCGTGAGCCAATGTAGCCATTATTTCTTTCCATCTAAAGAAATGGAAAAATCATAAATTTCTCCTCAATTTAAAAATATTTTTGACCAATTTTTGCTGACGGGATTGTGCAAGTACTTGTTCCTCAAAATATATCAACTTGAACAAAATTTTACAAGAGAAATAGCCAAGCCTTTTTTCATTTTAATTGGTGGAGTATAAGCTTGGGATTTAAAAATATGTTTTGTTGCCCCATTTGCCAATTATAGCAATAAAGAGAATGTTCCATGGTCAGTTATTACCCATTTGGCCAATCCAACGTTTCGGATGAACTGTGTTAAATTGCCAAGTGAGTTTGGATGGGAGGAAAGTGGGAGGAAAGAAGAGAAAATGATGGGAATTTGCTTACTTTTTTTTTCTTTTTTTTTTGGGGTAGTCTAAAGTGGAGAATCAAGAAAAGAAATGGTGAGATATGGAAGGATAAATTACTTCATAAGAAATTTAGACTAGAGTGCAAGGCACGCACTAATACGTGTGCAATTAATAAGAAAAATATTTGTCAAATTTTTTTATTATATTTATTGAAATCATTTTGAGTTCATTAGAGGGTAGCTTTGATGAGTAGTTTATTATGAGTGTTATGATGAGTAGAAAATGGTTTAAGCAATTGTTAGCAGTTATCATCCAAATTAACTGTGGATTTACAAAAGATGTAGCGGTTATTATCATCTTAGTGGTGATTGTGAAAAATTATTTGATCACATCATAAACAAAATATAACAGCAAAAGTTTATACCAAACCAAAACCCTACTCGTGCTTTATTATAGTAGAGATATTATGAATTATCATATTTGCCCATCAAAACAAACATAAACAATTTAAGTCTAAAGGTAAATCTGTAACTAAGACTTTGTTTGATAACCCAAAATTAGCACTTAAACTTAATAAATTCAGATCTTAATATGTTCAGACGCATTTGATAATAAAAAATTGAACATTTGAATTAATTAAGCGGCACTAAATTTTCTAGGTAGAACTTGCTCCCAGAAATAAATGATAAACTATTCATTTATCACTGAATGTGATATACACTCAAATGTATTAAATTTCATATTGAACAATTCAATAACTTAATGGATTCAGACTTTAGATTTCAGATTTCAATTTTATCAAACGCACCCTAAAATATACATTACTAATCTTTTTTGAGTAAATCTTACATACACATACACTAATAGTGTATACACTATCACGTTGGATGCACGATAATTCGAATTATATGTCATGCATCTAATGGTGAAAGTGTATACACTGATAGTTTACAGGAGATTAATTCATCATTTTTTCACCCTTTCTTTTCCGCTGCTCACTACTCCCAAGCAAGGCAATTAGAAGAGTGTTCCCATCCTTTCTCTTCCCTTGAACTTTTTCTTCTTTTCTTCTGTATCCTGCACTGAGAACTCCCAAACTAGCCATAAGCGAGGAGCAATCACCAGGTCCCATAAACAAGTCCAATTTAGCGCAGAAGCGACGCCTTGTATGGTACCAGGGTTAAACTTGCTGTCGGTAGCATCCTGTTTAAGGAATTAGTATAGTGATATAATCCGTTTGGATCCCTTGTTTTTACCTCTGTTTTTTAAAAACTGTTTTTCATATTCCAAATGCTACAGTAAATGTGTATTTCCAAAACAACTCCAAAAACACCATATCCAAACATTATATCAAAAACAACTCCATATGTATATTTCAATTTGTATATTTCAATTATGTATGTTATATATATTATATTAATACAAATTGAAATACACAAATTGAAAATTATATATTTATATATTATATATTATATAAATATTTATATACATTAATATTATACATAATATAATATAATATAATATACATAATATGTAATATTGTATACATAAATGTATAAATATTTATACATAATATATTATGTACAGAATATTATAATATATACATTATTAATGTATAATATTATTATGTACATTATTGTGTATAATAATGTTATGTATAATATATAATATATATAATATGTAATAATGTATAAATGTATATTATGTATAATATATTATATTATATATATACAATATTATGTATATTATACAAATTGAAAATTATATATTATATATTATATATTTATAAATTATAAATTATATAAATATTTATATAATGAAATATACAATAAATATTACAAATTGAAATATTATATAAACACCATATTTATAATATTATAATATTTATAATTAATATTAATATTAATATATATTATATATATTAAATATTTATATATTTATTTATACATATCATAAATATTTTATTTTATTTAAAAATATTTTTATATATTTTTATAAATATTATATATTATATAAATTATATGTAATATAATATATAATATATATTATATATATTATACATTTATATTATGTATTATATATAATATAATACATTTATATATTTATATTAATATACATAATATTAATTTTACATTTATACATAATATTAATACATTTATACATTTATATTAATTATATTAATATATTTATACATAATATTAATATATATTTACAATATATTAATTTATATGTGTATATAATATTCATTTATAATTTATAATAATATACACTTATACATTTATAAATATATTAATGTTATGTATTATATATAATATAATACATTTATAATGCATTTATATATTTTTATATAAATATATAAATATATTTATTTATAAATATTTATAAATGTATTATAAATGCATAAATGTATATAAATATAAAGATATAAAAATTATTAATTATAAAAATACCCAAAAATATGTTTTAAAAATACCTCTAAAAATAATCCAATAACATCTACAGTAAAAGTTTTTCATATAGTTTTTAAAAAACAACTCCAAAAACAACTAATTCAAACGGACTTGTATTTCAAAAACGAAATGCTACAGTGCTGTTTTTGAAAAACAACCTAAAAAACAGCTAATCCAAACGGAGGAATAATGATCAAGATTGACTGTTTGAACCTTTGAGAAGTTTTAATATAGTCTAAGGCATCCAAATAGCTAAACCAAAATGCATATAGAAGACAAAATTACCACAATTATACACTTCTTACAGAATGACAGATAATTGATGTTCTGCTTGTAACTATTTCTTGTAACCAATACATGGCAGACATCCCATTATTTATCTTACAGATTTGGCGACTTTTCTCAGTGGAATCCTCTTAGAGCCAAACCACTGAACCAAATACACTAGTCGACCAACACATAATTGGCCTCAACACCTGTCCACTAACTGAGAATTCACAGGACCTCAACGGAGGCTGTGAACAGATTACAGAACCACAAGAACTGCATCTATTCTGCAGCTTCATTCTCTGCATAGCTTCCCAGTGCATACAGCATCAAGCAGAATGGACAATAGGAGAGGAATCGAAACCTATGATAGTTCGAAGAACCTAAAAAGCAGAGTGGAAGGAAGAGCAGTACCAGCACTATGACAAAGTTCGAGCCCATGAACAACACAAAATGGGCAAGCCAATTGAGTTTGCTGACCACCAGGTAAACTCCTGCCATGAATGCTATTGACATCATAGCAAGTGCTATCCCCAGCAGTGGCAATGCTAACTTTAAGGCCACGTGCATGGACTTCTGATCTCCCAACTGTGCCCAGAGGAGCATAACAGCCACAGCAATGGAGCTGTACATTGCTAAAGAATCACATATAACAAACTCCTGAAACTTGACTTTTTCTAGCATGTTGGCAATGCCTTGGTTTGGATCAGAATTTTTGTAACCGCCTGGCATTGCAAAACCGGCAGAGAAGGTCACAGTTGCCACAAGTGTAGCTACCAACAGAATCACATTAACCTTATCTCTGTAATTCTCTGTTGTTGGCTGTTCTTCGAGCATAAGATTGACATCTGTTACAGACTTAGAATGGGGAGCTTTTGGAGCGCCCACAACTCTCAAGGCCATCCATGTCAAACGCTGCATCACAATCAGTAATTGAAATTTGATATGCGTAGTCAGATTCAAGATCATATTCAAGTTGAGCAATTGGTTGACTCTTTTTAGTTTGGCTAGTGATGCACATACCTTCTGAAATGAGGCCATGTATGGTTTCATTTGTTCCTCAGCAATGTCAAGTGCAGTTAGGCCATCTTTGTTTTCCAGCTGAAGGATAACACGCTCGTCCCATGTCAGACTGCTCACTACCTTGGGATGACCATATATTGTAGCCACATGTAAAGGGGTGTTTCCATCTGCATCTTTTTCATTTATAAGTTTCTCTAGTTCTGGCATTTTGAGCATACGCTCAAGTGCTCTGCATTTTCCACTTTTTGCAGCAATGTGGAGGATATTTTGGCCCTGTAAAGTGAGCTGTTCCCTTGAATCTGGCCGGTCTTGGACCATTAATTGAATAATATCAACATGACCTTGACTCGCTGCCATATGAATGGGGAGAAGACCTTGTCTATCCCTCAAATAAGCAAGAATATATGATTTTTTCAGTAAGAAGCTGATCCCATCAGTAAAACCAATGTATGCAGCACAGTGAAGAGGATTTCCACCCTTTTCACACCTTTTGTAAAAGGATGACCGATCTTTTCTCCAGAACAGTTTCAGGACATCTAAGAAGTCAAAAAAAGTGTCAATGTTATAAGGATCACATTCAAGTGAACCGAAAGCTCATCTTTAAAATTTCCTTTTTAAGCAGTTATGATGCTTGAAGATCATAAAACACGCCCTGCTTTCAAAACCACTACTCATTTGAAAAAAAAAGGTTGTCCCTGTGGAATTTTGGCAAGACAAAAATTAAATGCATCAGGATGCTATCTTTGGTTGAACCGCAAGAACATGTACTGAAAACAAACGATTTTAGTGTATAAAAATCACTTAACTGCTTACTTAAGACTAAATCAAATAGATATCATTCATGAACCATCAACATCCAAGCTTTCCTTCATCTTGCATGACAGAGCTCCTAATTTGGCAAAATTTAAGAAATGAAGCCATATATACAGAGACTAAGTACAAAGAAGGATTGACGAACTCAGATTTGTTGTATATATTGGCTGCAACTGGTCTATGCTGTTTTGCGCTTCATCAGTGTCATCATTCTCAATTCTGCCGAACTACTTTCTTTGGCTACAGATATCTTCTAATATACATTCACTGTGCACAAACAAGTCCCTCTTAATGTGTTTTATCATCAGAGAATTGCTGGTATGATTGATTGAAGAGCATAACATATATAGCAACTCAATAATATTATGACGGAGATATATCATCAAAAGAACACGACAGAGCAAACATACAGCAAAGATGTAGACAGTTAATACTGGGAAGGATAAACTATGAATTACCAATGTTCCTTCCAAGAATTGCAGCATGAACAGGTGATTTGTTTTTATGCTTTCCGTCAAGTGCGTAATTTCCAACAGGGTTATCCATTAGGAGACTAATGATGGCAACATATCCTGCTTCTGCGGCCAGATACATTAAAGATTTCCCTTCATGGTTGACAGAATAATTCATATTTCGATTTTTATCAATCAAAGTTCTGGCTACATTTTCATGACGATGAATCAATGCCTCATGCAGGGGAGTGTTGTCTTCCTCATTCGTTGCACCCAAAAGGGCCAAAACGGCATAATCTGAATCCGTCAACAACAGGATCAGATTTGTATCACCAGCTCTGGCAGCAAGATGAAGGGCAGTATCACCTCTTGCATCTTTTTCTGCCAGCAAGTGAGGTAAGTCCTTGCAGACAAGTTTGACAATCTCATGATGTCCATAGCTTGTCGCTAGGTGAAGAATCGTGTTCTTCTGAGGGCCTAGTTGGACACAAGAAGCTGGAAGATAGCACTGATGCCTATCATTAGACAACCTTTCCATTTCTCTTACAAATTCAAGAAGATCCCCTCCTATAGTAGCTTTGTAAAGCTGAGGATCCATTGTCTCTACAGCTCCATACTCCTCTTGATCATCCTCCAACAAATTTGAAAACATTAGATCAGACATGTGAAAATGATTTTTTTGGAAAATTTCCACTTGTAGCTAGTGCCAAAACAGTCCTTGGTCGTTAATTTATAATCCAGAGGATATGAATACGCCATTACAGGAATTCTTCCACACAATTGGGGAGTAGTTTCCAGGTTACGTGCCAGTTCACAAATTCTCACTTCATAATACTCTATTCACTCTCATGCAGCATCTAACTCGGCAAAAATAGACCGTTTGGTCAATTCATAACAGCTGACACATATTTCTGTCTCATTCCTCTTACTTTTTTGCGGGTGGTATTGGGGGGAGGGGGGGGGGGGACTATTAACGTAAGAATCTCGCGGTTCTTTGAATCCTTTCCAATGGACAATCATCAGGAAACAAAAAAGAGCTCTGAAATCTTATTTTAACCATAATCATTTCTTTAAGCACCAATATGCAGACGAAATTGACGATTAACCACAAGACAATAAGCCCATTTGAATATACAAAGTGTCATAAATGTTGGCAACATTCTTAGCATTTTAACTAAGCATGCCACGGTCAGGATACGCGAAACTCCCTGAGTTGAAGTGTACTACTATTCACCTAAATCACTTTAGAAAATCAAATTCCTTTTAATTGTACTTTTGTTTGGATATCATCTTATTTGCAAAAAAATTCTCCCTTGCATTATGAATTCGTTTTTCAAACGTTTTTTTTTTTATATTTTCAACTATCTTTTTATTTTACATATATCACATCACAAAAGGTGGTACAACGTTACTGTTTCCTGGTAGGAGAATTGAACCCTTTAATTAAAACAAAAAAAAAGGGATTAGGAGTGCACTCATCCCTTGACAACATGACTAACATGTCTTAATTTTGTTTTTTCCTTCTATATTTGTGTGGTTGATCATGAGACTATCAATAGGACCGGGCTAACTTGAACTCGACTTGTTCAATCGGAAAAAAATTCGTTGAACCTAAATTTTAATTGGATTAGACAGAGATCGAACTCGTTTTGATCTCGAAATTCATATAATAGTGCGAGCGGAGTTTGAGTTTTTTAATTTGAGCCCGAAACTCAAAAACCCAAAATCCGAAAACCCATATAATTTATGAGTCGAATTGAACTTGCCAAAACTCACCTTATAAAACCTAATTGACACCCCTAGTTGATCATTCTTTTTAGTCCTTTTTATTTCCAGACTTAATTCTTTAAATAAACCAGTGTTAATTAACGTTCTAAGAACGCTTTCTAGATTACCAATGTCAGGTGAGCTGTTGCTTTCCTATATATTGTCATCTTGTAGTCATTTGTATCATTAAAAAAACCGTGTTGAAGTCTCCTCAATTTCTTAGCAAGTATTAGACCAAAATTTGGAAGTGGAGGCCTTTGATTCAAACAAATATTTGTCATTTAACTAAGACAAAAAGCACCTACTGATCACTGATAAAATCATTAAGTTATCAAGGAAAGAGACAACCCATGTAATTGTTCTTGACACGGCTTCTTAAATGTGAATAGAAAAGAAAACCATGCAGTCAAACGCCTTCTTGTGGCCGTATCACTTGGTGGCGCTCAAATCAAATTTATATAGACAAGAAAATAGGAGGAGGAAAAAATGAAACTTGTTAAGTAGTTTTTGATCCTCAACCAAGATAGAAAGGTAGCAAAATTTTGTGGTGGCAAGAACAAAAGAAAGAATCAGCCGCCATTCATTTGATTAATCTGATGTCAAGACAGTGTTAGCATGCATTAATCAAGTTTTAGTTAATAATCAATGACTTGACTTCGAAGTGGACAAGAAGTTCAAGTTTTGAAAGAGACTAAAAGATCCATCAAAGTTATTCTCAAGTCCCAATTTCTTGTCCCTCTTAAAATTTAAGGCCTTGCTTGGATTGCTGTTTTCCGGATAAAAATTTCGTCATTTTCGGTGAACACATTTCTCCATTACCTTTTTTCCTCACATACATCAAATCGCTACAGTAATTTTTTCATGAAAAATGACGGAAAATGCAATCCAAACGGGACCTAAATATTTTCCGTATTTGATTTCGATTTATAGAAAAACTAACACCTGCATTAATCTATGTAATCGAGTTCCATAAAAAACTGTTAGACAAACTTTAGTTTTAAAATCCTATTTTTAACCGAACCATTTTGTTTTACTTATCTTTATCTTCTATGTTTTTAAACTCGGACCGCACTGGCCTATTCGACCACTTGAACTGAGAACAAGACAAGTGTCCGGTCCGAATTGCTATAAAAAATCGATTGGCAGAAACCCAATAAAAAATCGAGTTCATTCGGGGTTAAACTGAGAAAATGGGTTCTGGAAACCTGAATCTTGACTTCTCAAGCTTCTGCAATTTTTGTCCAAGCCAAAAAAAAAAAAAAAGAAATTTTTTTCTTGTAGACAAATCAATGATAGGGAAGTTGCTTCATCTCCACCTAAATGAAAACTTGGAGGAGGAAGAAAAATTTGCAGATCTAAAGATCTAGAACATCATCTGAAATAAGGAAACATCAACGAAGCAAAGAAACAAAGGGAAAGCAAAGAATGAGAAGTTTCCATGAATTTTGTTTGCTAAGAAAGCAACAATGGACACCTGAATTGGAAGACAATTTCTTTCTTTTCTTTTTGAAAAAAAAGAAAGACCAGAACACAAGCAGACGAACTGGAGCGTGGAAACTTTGTGACGCAGATACAAGAAGCTGGAAAGCGTCACGGCGGAGAAGAAGAATTGATAAGGAATCCCCTTTTAAGCTTAAAACTTCTCTCATATTGTACTTTGATCCCTCAATGTTTGGGACAATCATAACTACGCACCTAAACTTCTTTTATTACTTTCATTTGTAGCCTTAATTTTTGTATGTTTACAATGATTATTAATTTTCATTCTAGATTCATCATCTTATAGAATTAGAGACTCATTAATATGCATTTTAGATATACAGACGTTAAGTTAGCCGAACATATGAGTTGATTATTACAAATTAGTTACTGCAAATTTGACACCTTAGTATATAGGACATATGGAGAAAAATTAAAATAAGTACATGTTTGTTCTATTTGTTTTATTTTATGTATAATTAAGAGATATTTATATGTTAATTATGACGTCATTGATTCTATCCCAACTAACCAATTGGACTCATTGACATCTCACCCCTAACCTCTGCCGAGTCGTTATCCGGTCCCAATTTCAAAACATAACTTATCTTCCAATGTCCAAACAATTCTCGAGCCCTTCCATTTTTGCTTTCAGTTGACTTTATGTAGAGTAAGTTCCATGAAATGCCAATTATTAGGTAAGAAATTCATTACGGGAGTACCTTTTTTTCTCTTCCAATAAAGAAGAATAATACGCGTAGTTCTGGAATTACTGCAATCCTAGATTTTGGGGAGAAGAAAGATTACCGTTAAAATGGTGAGAGGAAACAACATCCTTAATTGCATGACTGTACTCAATAAGTTGCACAACATACAGGGCTTGCATTTTAGATCTTTTTTTTAATTTTTTTTGGCAAGGCCTAAAGATTT